CTAAACATGAGACGTGTTAGCTTAGCAATCTTGTGCAGGGGGGAAAAGGGCTTTTCGTATGTCTTACCTGGCCTGTGCCTCGTCCAAGCTTTCGTCGGTGATGGCCATTATTTGCTGTAGAATATCCCCAATGTCTTGTTGCGGCTGAACGAGGGACTGTTGTTTCCTGACCGAGTCTGGGTCAACGACATCGGACTGTGTCAGTCCACTGAGTCCGGCGAGGCTCGTCAGCATCCTGGTCTGATCATCCATACTTCTAAAGAAAACTCGCCGTTTTCCTCAGCCGAAGAATACAATCAAACAGCTAGCCTTTCAGCTAGCCAGCAAAGTGTTTTCCACGACAAATCATACAACACTTCTTTTCGTACACAACARCGACAATTAACGATTAAGTCTGGGTCGTATTGCATAAACCTAGCGCTAAAAATCGAGCTTTACATTCGTCTTTGTTTCTTCTTTTTGCTAGTCGATGAACGCAGCAAAGCTAACGTTGGCTAACCACCGTCTGAAAAGCAGCTAGGTTAGCAGCCCCAGCAGAAAAGCGGCAGGGACACACATGCACAGACGGAGTGAGCGACTCGCACATTTTCCAAGAAAAAAAAAACTGCACAACGAAAAAAAAATGTAATCACAAACGTAGCACGCCTTTAAAACGCAACGTGCCAATYCAAGGATAAAATTAGGTGCAACTATATGATATAAATATTTCTGGCCGTGTGGCTCCGATCAGAAATCTACCAAAACAGAACACGGTTTGCCATTGTTGTTGATGTCGCGCGAGTATGTGAGACGTTCCTCAGCGCGAGCGGTGTGGCTGCCTTTGACCATTAAAGCTCATAGTACTACAGAGCACGAGCTGGTGGGTGGGTAAATGAACAAAATGCTTTAAGAATGACAGCCACTACGGTGGTATAATGATAACTTTTGAATTGTTTGCAATAGCATRAAGTGGTTAACTTTTATTCAGTACCAGATTCTGCTGAGAAAGACCTCCTCCTGAACAAAAACTTTGAAATGTAAGGCTTGTAGGTCTAACAGAGGGCTTGTGTAGTTTTGAGCGAATTTTTAAAAGCTTGTGTTGTTGTTTACTTCTAGCCAGATAAACACACAACTGTAATAATGTAAATACTGAACAAACTTACAGCCTATGTTGACTGATGTGTAATAGCTTTTATATTTACTGAATTATGTTTCTGTTTAGTGTGAGCCAAGTACAAACTGTGTACAAAGTTACTTTTATGAGTGAGCAAAGTGTGACAGTTTCAAGTATAATATTCAGTCCCAAACAGCCCAGGTTTAGAAAATCACTCTGTTCCAAAGCCCAGATGAATGAAACATCCCATCAGTTTTCTGTATGAAAATGTTGACAGCAGATTGAAAACAAGTGTCTTTGGTTTTTTTTTTTTTTTTGCAAACTAGGCAGTTCTGGTATTGTTTATCACTCATATCACAGAGACAGCTTTCCGAGACGAATGGCTGTCTGGATGGATGTGGAGGAAAGCAGCAGCCAGTCCTGCTGTACTGAGAGGAGATGATGAGTGTGCATGAGGGAGTATGACCAAACTGGCAGTGGTTTATGCTGACTCTCCAACCATCCATCTACTACAATCTGTAACTAATCAATCTAAAGTTGGAGACAACAAGAATAGCAAATACAGTAAAAAGTAATTGCTCTATGCACGTGCATTCACCACAGGTCGCAGTTCTGGCCTTCAACAATTTAACCCTTATGTGTTAATCAAGTAGATTTTCCTTTTTAAAACCTTGGCATGCCAAAACCTCCACATACACACATTTATTTACTTAAGCATCCATTGCAACACATTATTTTAAACAATCAGTCCCTAAAGTAATTTCCTAGCACTGTCAGAGACAATCCCTCTTTAAAGTGAAGTCTGTCAACGGCTTTGTCAACTTTTTGTTTTATTGTTGTCGATCCATTTCAGGACAAATTCTGTGAAAGCTCTTCTCATTTAGATGCCAAAGTTGCCCTCCTCTCACCCTACAAGCATCAAGCCTCATTTTCATCTAAATAAGAATCGATCTCTCCTGGTGTGCACCATCTTCTCTTATTCGCAACTCTCATGGTCACAACCCCACACGTCTTCCCTTTGCTTGTCCTTTTGCTCTCTACTCACTTCCCTGACTAGAACTATAAGTAGAATTTACCACATTATCATAAATGAATAGCAGAAAAAGTTATTGACTCGTGTTGAAAGGCAGGGGRAAAAAAGGGAGGCGAAGGCATGAATGAAATGTAAGCAGAATTGAATGAATAGGTTCAAAAAATGTAAGCAATGGCAAATAAGCTTTGACTGACTGGTACAATGTCAAAGCTTCGTTCTGCATCAGTAACCAAGCCAAGCAAGAGATGAGGGGGTGAGTCACTGTGGGGGAGGGGCCTGCTATGGTCAAGGGACACTGATGAAGTGAAATAGATGCAACACCAAAAGGAAGTAAATGTGACTGAGGGTGAGCACTAAGGTCTGTGTACAAATAAAAGAGTGTAAATTAGAAATTTTAACTTGCTTTTCCTAATGGGTTATTTTTTGTACAAGCCAATTTTACAAAAAAAATGTTAATAGTCTATGGGTTAAGTGGTCTTCTTACCTTTCTAACAATCACTAAATCATATATTTAAGAATACTGCTGTTCAAATTATTGTTTTGGATATTTATAAAGAAGTAATTATCCACACTGTGTCTGACCAAATACATCCCGTGACTTAATTTATTTCTGCATAGTTAAAGTCAGATTTTATGTCTGGTACAAACCACCATAGACTGGTTTAACAGTTATATAT